GTGTAGTGAGGTTGTTAACGTGATGGGTTACCTCATTGTGGGCTATAACGGCTGTCTCCTGTCTTTGTTCCAGGGTGGTTGTGCGGTGCCCAAGTGCCACGATCTCTGCCTTAACCTCCGCCGTGGATCTGCTGATCTCCCCTGCCAGGTAAGTTTTCACCTCCAGGATTTGGGAGGTATCACCCTTTGGTGAATTGGGGCCCTGGGGAGACTCCGGGTGAGCCGGCGTCGAGGTGGTTTTGGGGGCTGTATCGGCTGCCATCTTGGTGGTCTGGCTGGGCTGCGCGGGATACCGCAAACATGTCGGCCACAGAGGTGCCTGCATCTGACGGCTTCTTTTGGGGTTTCCGCTGGATTCTTTTATCCATGCTGCTGCACGGGGTGCAAATTAGGGTGATTCTTTGCTCGCTTGTTAGCTTTTGTGCGCTGTAGGGCCTATTCTCGGCAGGAGCTCATCTTATATGCGTCCGCTCAGCATCGCGGTCAGGCCATTCAATGGAATTTTGCCTCTGTCCTTGGAGATACTTGGATACCAATTATCTCCAGGATAGAAGACTCTGTGGAACTGGTTTTGGGCAGAAAAGCCATGCTTCATTTGGTCACAAAGGCATTCGATCTAACTTTTGACCCACTGGAACAATTTGTATGATTTTGACATATGTTTGTATTTGGAGTATGCTGATTCTGAAAATGTGATGCATACTTTTAAAGTTATGAATAATGTGGAAAAACTATTTCTCTGCCTGTGATAATTATATTAACCCATTGTGTAAGGGCAGGCACATCACAGGCAGAGGGGAGGATTTTGTGTGGGAGTGTCTGAGTGTTTTTGTACGTGTTTATTGGTTGTTTTACAAAACCCTGTGGGTGGTACTAATGTGTATATAAGAACAATAAACCCACAGCTCTGCCTGATCACTGCTTGACCCTTAACTCGGAACCTTGTCTCGTTCTTGGGGGGATTTACTGTATGCTGTTCCAGTTCGACTGCTAGGAGTGTAAACCTTTTGTATGGTTTTTCCTATACGGCTGTTTACAGCATTCACATGTTTGAGAGCATTCGTCTGCTTCTCTGGTTCGGTGGATTGGTGTCTACAGTAGCTGCCTGTGTATCTGGAAGGGAAGATCTACTAAATGGCGGTTTAACCCTTTTATGCCTGGGGTGCCGTTACAATTGGTGGCAAGCAGCGGGATCGTTCCCACAGCCAGAAGGACAGCTACAGGAGACACTATTCCGTGGATTTACAAGTTGGGAGCAACGCATGTCCCGGTACAGCGACCCTAAAAGCAACAGAATGGAATCAGCAGTGTTATACGAGGAGGAGGACCTGGATGCATTAAGAAAAGGCATCTGGTACCAGGCCCTGGATTATGTACAATACCAGCGGGGTGAGAGTCTCCCCAGTGAAGAGCAGCGGTTTCAGAAGCAAGTGGCCCTGGGAATGCCCTTCCTGGGAGAGCAGCCCCTGGAGGAATGGGTGAAGGAACTAGAGCACTGGGTATGGCAAGAGCTATGGCTGGAGGATGCCTACCAGGCGCTCTGGTGGTATATAGCACAGTATATACCCTGGACAGCCGAGCATGACAAGCGAGAGAGAGAGGAGTTTGGTGGTCCAGGCTTGTTATGGGAGTCCTTTGCAGAGCCTGACTTCAGGAGCCCTGCACAGACCAGACTTCAGGACTTTTTCTAAAAGAGGGAGGCTAGGCATGACTGGGATGACCCCCATGAGGTAGAGCAGGACCTGGCTCGCCTAGCAACTCTGGAGTGGGAACTGGAGCAGGACTACCGAGATCTCTTCCACTCCATTGGGAAGGCTCAGCAGGACAGCAAGGTGACAGACCCAGATCCAGACCCATTCAGCTGGGAATATATTGTGGAGATTTACTGGGAAGGACCCCAGGTGGCCGGAGGAGATGGGACCGAGGTCTCTCCACCGGTCCTGCAGGGAATTGGGAGCCCAGTCTCCATTCCCCAGCGGCAGGCTGAGCTACCGGTGGCAGAGACGGTCGGTCCTGTCCCCCAGCAACAGGGCTGTTTAGCCAAAGGGGAGACAGTCGGTCTCCCCCTCCAGCAGCAGAGCTGTGTATCCAAAAGGGAGACAGTCGGGCTCCCCCTCCAGCAGCAGAGCTGTGTATCCAAAGGGGAGACAGTCTGTCTCTCCCTCCAACAACCAGGCTCCAACCAGGCTACTTCGGGTGGTAGCACTGGCACCAGGGCAGAGTACCGCTGGTCTCTGCCCACTCAGCAACCCACCAAGGCAGCCTAGCAGCACCCCGCACAGCCGTGGTGAGGCACCTGGACATGGACAAGCTGTACTGCTGATTGTGTTTTGTGGGTGGACTGCTGGACTAACCGGTAGGAGGTCAGATACCCTGCTAGTCTGTTTGGAAAAAGGGAGAGATGTGATCTTGCCACTGTGCATTGGAGGAGCCTGGTTGCCCGTCTGCTGCCTTTAGACTATGGCCCCATGTTGAAACGCTTGATTTTCCCCTGCAAAGACACGAAAGCCGGGTCATTCGGTATTTACCCCATTTGAACAGTGATACCCCAGATAGCTATGCCATGGAGCCCATTCGTATATCCAAAGACTATGTGAAAGACTTTGGCTCCATGGCAATTGAACTGTATGTATATGATCTGAGCGCCATTCAGTAATAATGGGCGCTCAGATCTAAGCTATCTGGGGATATGATGAATGTACCTGTTTTATGCAAAGCTGCACAGTTATATATTTTTATGTATTTTATTGTCTTTTGCTACCATATGTTCAATGGAGTTTTGCCTCTGTCCTTGGAGATAATTGGATTACTTCCCAATTATCTCCAGGATAGAAGACTCTGTGGAACTGGTTTTGGGCAGAAAAGCCATGCTTCATTTGGTCACAAAGGCATTCGATCTAACTTTTGACCAAATGGACCAATTTGTATGATTTTGACATGTTTGTCTGGATTCTGAAAATATAAGTTTTATGTGAATGTGATGCACACTTTTAAAGTTATGAATAATGTGGAAAAACTGTATTTCGCTGCCTGTGATAATTACATCAACCCATTGTGTAAGGGCAGGCACATCACAGGCAGAGGGGAGGATTTTGTGTGGGAGTGTCTGAGTGTATTGTACGTGTTTATTGGTTGTTTTCCAAAACCCTGTGGGTGGTATTAATGTGTATATAAGAACAATAAACCCACAGCTCTGCCTGATCACTGCTTGACCCTCAACACGGAGCCTTGTCTCGTTCTTGGGGGATTTACTGTATGCTATTCCAGTTCAACTGCTAGGAGTGTAAACCTTTCGTATGTTTTTTCCTATTCGGCTGTTTACAGCATTCACATGTTTGAGAGCATTCGTATGCTTCTCTGGTTCGGTGGATTGGTGTCTACAGTAGCTGCCTGTGTAACTGGAAGGGAAGATCTACTAAATGGCGGTTTAACCCTTTTATGCCTGTGGGTGCTTTTACAACCCCTTCATTGTTATTAACCCTTAATAGGGAACACATGGGATGGGCAGCAGCATTGTACCATAGCTGTGTGATACAAAAAGTGACCTATAGGCTGCCCCCCCCATGCCTCACTTCCCTGACCTATAGGCTGCCCCCCAATGCCTCACTTCCCTGATCTGTAGGCTGGCTCTGCAGACTGGGAGTTGGCTGCACTCTGTGCTGCTCCCCTGCAGATTCAGTCAGGAGAGAGAAACAAGGATAAGATGTAGCTTCCCATCCCTGTCTCTCTCCATACACAGCTGGCCGGCGCTGGTATTGCACTGTATTTTCAATCTTACATGAAAAATAGCAGAACAAGCTGAAATATCCAGGGGGGACTGGGGGGCAAGTGAAGGATGCCTACACCACCTCCTTTAGAGTTGAGTCTGGGAGTGTGAGAGTATTGTAGCCCACCAAAACATAAAGAGACAGGAGTAGCGCTATCGGAGGGCGACAGCCAGGTCTCTGTAAGTGCAAGTAGTGTGAGTGAATTTGAGGTGAAAAAGTCAGGTATGGCTGTTGATTTTAAATCACTGCAGATGGAGCGGGCATTCCAAAGTGCACACTGAATGAGGTTTGTGGGGTTTCTGGTTTTCTTAGTGTGTGTAAAGAAGGTGAAGGGCCCTGGATTGGGAGAGACATCACCAGCTGCTAGAAGCAGGAGGAGAGAAAGTGACATGAGGTGTGAATGTGTTTTGTATGCATTGGGTCTAGGATGAGATTGATAGTGGGTAGGAGTGAGAGAGTAGAAAAATTAGTGCAAGGCATGAGATGAGAGAAGGGGGAGTGTAGCAGAGAGGGGCATATGTAAATGTGGATGGGGATGAGTGAAGTGGATGTAAGGAGAGATTTTTATACTGAGGGAGAAGGAGGAAATAAAGAGGAGGAGAACACAGATCATTGCTAAACTGAAAAAGTAAATTGGAATATCAAAAGCATGTGAAGATAGGGTAAATATTAAGTTTTATGGGTTAAGAAAGTGCAGGAGTGTTCTAATAAAAGGGAGTGTGTACATCTGTTATTTTTACTTATCTAAAATGTGGGTGTGACAGACAATCTATAAATGTAATAATGAGCATGTGGAGGGCGGGTAGCAGACTTTCTTATAGCAGTATTGGGGCTTGATAATTCTGAAATCAGGCCGTTGAATAAAGATATGTGAGGGTCAGATAGTCTTGGAATAAAGCTGAGGGAGGGGGATATGTATCTAGGCACAGAGATGAAGGGATACTTATTTAAATAAAAACAATCAATAAAAGAAGGGGGAGGGCAGAGGTCAGTCAGAAATCAGATCATCCATCATATATCCTTGATAGGGATTGTGCATGAGAGCTAGTTGATAGCTCCACACTTGTGAGTGTATTTTCACAATTCCACCCCTGGTTATACAATATTACACTATTGTATTTTTTGTGTGTATTTTCAATTCATATCTTCATACCTTTGATTTGGTGAATATATCAGACTGCCATTTGAATAATCTACTCTATTAAGAATGTTGTACCATCAAGATTTATTTTGGATATATATATTCTACAAATTTCAAGTATATATACTTTCTAATTATGCATTGATTTTTTTATTGCAAATTTCCTTTGTAAACCACGAGGTGCAACCTGTTCTTGTTTTCTGTGTATTAACCTCTAATTCTAACCCTAAGCTGCCCAACTACCACTATGCCTGCATTACAGTGCTGTAACTCCCATCACCATCATACAACATGGGATTTGAGGTAGCTTGTATATTCATGTGGTAAATCCCTGTATGCAAACTAGAACTCATTTGCTGTATGACTTTAATTACGGCACTATAACAACACTCGCATAGCTGCGTCTAAGCCAGTTATATGTTGTCTGGTACAGGGTGCTGATGAAATTGCAAACGTGTCAGATAACAAAAAGCATGCACTATTACGAGACCATTTACAAGCTTTATGTACAAGTTAACAATCAGTGTTCAATTTCCAGCTGTTCAGTTTTTTTCCTTTTAGGTTTCTTGTTGGTAGACAGGCCTGATGTGTAATACTATTCAGTCTTATATATGTCTTCATTACACTGGGAAAGCGAGAGATGCTACAAACAAACTACCGCAAGCAGTTCTTGATGAATATAATATGCCAAATTTAACAAAAGGGGTCTCACCCCAGCCTAGACTCTATGAAAAAGAAACATTATGATAAAGCAACATGAGCAAAACCCTAATTTATGTATTTATTTTTTATGCGTGATATGTTGCTGAAACTGCTGTCATTCTGTGTTTTCTTGCATGTACATCTTTATGTAAATTACAGGCTGGCTGCTTCTCATTCATTTCCCCCCCCCAAAGAATATGAAGCAGCGAATCTGAGAATCAAAAGCAGGACTTGACAAATTTGCTTTGAATCTAACAGCCAGCTAAAAAAAAAAAAAATAAGACCAGTTTTTTTAGTTTATGTCTTACAAAGCTTTATTTTTAAAGAGAAAAATACAATTCTTAAAGGGACTCTATAGTCACCAGGGCCACTACAGTGTAATATAATGTTTCTGGTATTTATAGCCTGTCCCTGTAGGCTTTTCACTGTAAATACTGCCTATTCAGAGAAAAAGACAATGTTTACATTGCTGCCTAGTGACAGCCACTAAAGTACTTTCTATCTCAGTGCCTACATTCAGCATCTCCACGCTCTGCATGGAGGTGTTGAACATTCCCCATAGATTTGCATTGATTAAATGCATCTCTATGAGGAGATGCTGATTGGCGCAGCATTTTGCAGCGCATGCACAGTAGCTTTCCAATACCTTTTAATGAGGAGATCATCAAGCTCGATGACTGCAGCAATAGAGATGGGGCCAGCCGCAGGCAGACTAAGACGGCACAGGAAAAAATGCTGAGTAAAAAAAAGAAACTATCACATGACCATGTGATCCAGGCAGCTGGTCACCTAAATATACAAACACTCGCACAAATTATTATATGTTTTAATTCAAAGTCCACCCAGCCTCTCTACCTTTGGAAACATTGGATTGGCTTTCCCTGGATTCCATTTAGCAGCTGGCTGGGTGAGAGTGGAGGCTGGCAGATGATTGTGCATACTGTAGGCAGGCAGCAAGGGAGCTCCACTCTGTTGTGCACTGCTTAGTGATGCAGAGGGACCACAGCTCCCTTGCCGCTCATCTACTTTACACTTAGCTGGCTGCCCGACTTGGAAGGAATGTGCTTACAAATCCCGGAGCTAGGACAAATTTCCTGGTCACTATGGCTGGATGTCATTATCTTAATACTTACACGGTAGCATTTATAGATTAATAAAAATGGGTAATCCCTAAACCTGGACTGGTAGGTGTGTCTTGAAGACAGGTTTGGAAACTACTGCACTAAAGTGATAATGCAAAGTGAATTTTAGCCAAACTTGCTGAACTGGAAGTATAGGTGACATAGTAAATTATTCCAGTTTGGCTATTTTACCATGATTTTGAAATTCACTTTGAATTCTAACTTTAGTGAATAACCCGGTCTATAAATTTATTTTATACACGTAATTTCTGGAGACAATATCAGTTTTGAGAACCGCAAATCTAACCTCTAGGAGAGCACGACACGGAGAACTAATTTAGGGTGAGCAAAATAAACAAAAAAACAGTGTGCAAGAAAATACTGAGAACAGACAACGGCTCAAGTACCTTGTCCTTCAGTGGGTCCACACTCAGAACTTAAACTAGCTTTAGCTCATCTTGTACCATTACTAGGGATGCACTGAAATTTCGGCTGAAAATGGGCCTCTCTCATTTTGCCCAAAAACGGGTCAAATTTGCAAAAATTTAAAAAGAAAAATGAATTATTTTAAAAGATTTTTGTAGTGCATAGTTTAACAGACATGCTTGCATTAACATTTCCGATGATTATATATCACAACGAAAGATAGTAATGATAACATGAAAACACTACAAAAGAGGGAGGGGAGAGGAACACTAGAGAAAAACAATAAGGGGGTGCGGGGGCACTAAAAGAGAAGGGAAGTTTTTCATATTAGATTAATTAAATTCATTAAAAAGTCTAATATTAATAAAAATTATAGGGAAAAAAATAAGTCATTTTCGGCCCAGAATTTTAATTTCAGTGCATCCCTAGCCATTACAAAGGGAACCTAGGCCATTTGCAGATCAGACTAATCCAACCAAAACAGTGGTCCAGATGCAAACTGCAGGCCGGCTCTCTCTGCACAGATAATCATTTTGGCCTTGTCAGGCCTCATTAGTGACATATAGCTCACTGTGGCAAGAATGGTATCAGATACACCTCACTGATGAGGCTCAAACAACGCAGAAAAAGTCATCCAGGGTTGCTGTCTCTCTCTTGCAGAGATAACTTGCTGGCATTTCGGTTCTGGTCTGCCCTGATGAAAGAGATCAGTTTGACATGCAAATTGTATATGTTCACACTGTAATTGCACAAGTGAGTAAAATATTTTTTTGAGACCTGAGTGGGGATGTACCGAAGGGCAAACTTCGGCGTTTCTCTAAGCTTTTGTTGCCATGGAATTCATTTACCGAAAAAGGAAAACACCATATGAATATACAGACTCGTGCTTCATAATTAAAAACAAATCCCTTTTTCATGATGAATAATATTTGGACTATAATGTATTTTAAACTGAAATCTATCTTTAGATGTTTATTTTCTTCAAAGCATTTAATTAATAAATTTAGATTAAAAAAAATAAAATAAAAAATATCATTGATTTGTAATCACCCCATCTAAAATGCATGTAGGAATGGAATACATTTGTTGATGTAATTTAAAGATGTAAACATTAATACCATTTCACACGGTTTCAGTTTTAAACTGTTCTTGTTAGCCATCCCAAAAAAAGATTATGTTGTAAACTATGATACATATGTTTGTTTCAATAGAAACACATATGGCATTAACATTAGTAAAGTTTTAAATGACCAGTCACTTTATCAACTAAATCAGCAGGTCCCGGTCCCACACCAAGCACAGTTCGGGATCCTGGAGCAATTTGAGTACGGCCGGCATCCTGGATTAAGCTAATAGTCAATCCCAACTCTTTAGCTTGAGTGAGGAGTTCTATCAAACCTTCTTCATCTGGTGCTCTAACCACCACCTTAGGCTGTCCGCAATATTCCCACTGCTTGAGTAGATCAGGATTTCTCTTAAGTAGTTGTTTGTAAGCAGACACTGCAGCATGTGAACATTGTGCAGCTACTTTACCTTTGCCCATTTTTAAATCACTGCGGACAACCAGTATCATTTTAAATTCGCCTCGTTCTCCCATAACACTTGCTTCACTTCCTGCATCATTTGCAGCCACAGTCCTGATGGTTCGGGAGCAACCAAATCGGCCTCTCAGAGTCCAGCCTAGAAAAACACCACAAGCTATTCCAGCTGCAAGGGTAACAGCTCCAGGATTCGATATATAATCCATTCCAAAGAACCTACAATCACAAGGAGTGATAGTTTTCAGACACTTTAGAGCTAATGTTTTTTAAAGCACCCCTATCACTTCTAAATCTCTCACAGAATATTCATTAAACAAACAAAAAACAACAACATTCTACTGGAATTTCATACTGTACTATTTCCCATAGAAATTTGAACTTTTATCAAAATTCCTCACCTAACTCATGTACACTTACAATACTCCCAAAAGCCTGTGTACCTCCTAAACAGATTTACAGGGAGAATGAGTACAAGTTAACTTATTGTCTTTCTCACACATGTGTAGATATATGAGCATGTTTAAAAGATAAACATAAGGGACACTAAGCACCAAAACAACTTTACCTCAATGAAGGATCCAAGGATAAATCTGACTGCCATTCTGGGGTCAAGAAGGCATTTTTTCCTAGCTTGTTGCAAAATTGGAAGTGCTTCAAACTGGGTTTTTTTTTGCCTTCTTTTTGATCAACAGCAAAAAACAAATGTGAAGAAGGCTGAACTTGATGGACGCAAGTCACTTTTCAGCTATGTAATTATGAAGTGGTTTGGGTGTACAGAGCATGCCGCTGCACTCTCACTGCTCCAATTTTCTGTCACTTAGAAGTTAAATTACTTTGCTTATGCAGCCCTAGCCACACTTACACAGCCTCCCTAAACATTTATTGAAAAATACGTTTACATTGCAGGGTTAACCTCCTTAAGGACGGCGGGCGTGCTATGCAGTCCTTGGGGACCCGGCTCTAAATGCTGGGGGGCGGCATAGCACGTCCCCGCCGTCCTCTCTACTTACCTGGTCATCGGCGATCGCGATGTGGGGATTCACCTGGCAACGTTTTGGCCCAACTGGGCCATGTGATTGCGAGATCCTTGCGAGGACCTCACGATCACATGGATGGTATAGCCGTCCACAGCAATGCCAGCAGGGGGTGCCTGTAATGACAGGTACTCCCCATGCTGCCTGTTAAAAAAAAAAAAAATAGTCTAAGTCTCTAAATGTATTTTCATATATATATATATATATATATATATATAAAATTAATATCAAAATACACGTAGAATGACATTGATTAAAAAAAAATAAAAAAATATATATATATAATATAAAATAAATATGTAAATGCATTAGAAAAATGTGTAAATTTGTTCTAACTGTATTTTAAAATTAATATATAGATTGATATCAAAATACACGTAGAACGAAATATATATCTATACACACACACACACACACACAAACACACACACACATATATATATATATATATATATATACATACATACACACATATACACACACACACTTAAATATATATAATTCTACGTATATATTTATGTAATAATTTTACATATTTAGGTCATTTTATCAATTAGAATTTGTGGGACCTGCCTGACAACCCAGGCCAAAAGTCCAGGGAATTTAATTTGCTAGCACTATATTTAACCCTGTAACTTCCAAGACACCATAAAACCTGTGCCAGGGGGGTACTGTTTTACTCTGAAGACAAATATTAGTGTTTCAAAACAGTAAAATGTATTACGATGATATCGTCAGTGAAAGTGAAATTTTGGGCATTTTTCACACACAAATGGCACTTACACGAACAACAGAATTGTTGTGATACGTTTTACCATTTTGAAAAACTAATATTTGTGTTCAGCGAAGTCTCCTGTGTATAAAAGTACCCCTCATGTACAGGTTTTATGGTGTTTTTAAAAGTTACAGTCAAATATAAGGCTTGCGTTTCAATTTTTTCCACACTGAAATTCGACATATTGGTTACGTTGCCTTTGAGACCATATGGTAGCCCAGGAATGAAAATCACCCCAATGATGGCATACCATTTGCAATAGTAGACAACTCAAGGTATTGCAAATGGGGTATGTCCAGTCTTTTTTAGTAGTCACTTAAATCACAAACACTGGCCCAAGTTAGTGTTAATATTTGTTTGTGTGTGAAAAATGCAAAAAACTAATTTGAATGCCAATTTTGGTCAGTGTTTGTGACTAAGTGGCTACAAATGGTATGCCATCATAGGGGTAATTCTCATTCCTGGGCTACTATGCGGTCTCAAAGGCAACATAACCAATCTGGCGAGTTTCAATGTGAAAAAAATGTAACATGCTATATTTGACCCTGTAACTTGTCAAAACACCATAAAACCTGTACATAGGGGGTACTGTTTTACACGAGAGACATCGCTGAATACAAATATGTAATACAAGTATTTTATTGTAGTAAAAGAAAACAGTATTATGACACTCACAGTTAGAATGTCACGTAGAACTAAACATTTTTTTTTTAAATTCTTATTTTCTCCCTTTTTAAAAATATTTTATTCATATTAAAATGTTTCATAGCTAAATATTGGATGTTAGATGAAAGCCCTGTTTCCCATGAATAAAATATATAAAATAACTGTGGGTGCACTTAATATAAAAGTCGAATTACGGTTGAACAGACATATAGTCAAATTCCAAGTTTTTGTTTACGTTTTGATCACAATGTGTACATTTGGTTCAGTCCTTAAGGGGTTAATCCAGCCTCTAGTAGCAGTCTCCCTGAAACCGCTTCTGCGATTCTCAGTGTGAAAAACGCATTGAACTTGCGCAGCGTGAGTTCAGAACCCCATAGGAAAACATTGAGTAAAGCTTTCCTATGGGTGGTTTGGAAGCACGTGCTGCTCTGGCCGTGCATGCGCATTCGGCTCCACTCGGGAGGGGAAGGAGAGGTCACCAGTGCCGAGGGAGTCCAGCGCTGGATTAAGGTAAGTGGCTGAAGGAGTTTTAACCCCTGCAGCGCAGTGGGAGGGGACCTAATAACCCTGTAGTGCCAAGAAAACAGGTTTGTTTTCCTGGCACTATAGTGCTCCTTTAAGCGTTCCTTATCACAGTGTGTTTAAATTAAAAGTTATTAACCGCACTATGTTAATTGCCTGATGGCAAGTTCAATTAACAGAGCAGGAGATAATGTCTAAAGCAAACACATTGTGTTGTAAGATCTGAATGTTTTTTTTTTCATTCCATGCTGTGTAAACAATAGTAATTGTAAATACCTAAATGGCAAAGAATTTAACACCGAGACTCCAGAGGCATGATCTATGTGGTGAGTGGAAATTTTGACCCCTACAGAATCTATACAACAAAACTGCTTCATTAAGCCAACACTGTTTTTGTGTTTAGAGTGTCTCTTTAATCATGGTTTCATATGTCTCCTTTTAAATTATGCACTACACAATCGCAGTTGTTACTTATATATTTTATATTTCCTTAGACTTTTCCAGCACCTGTTCCCTATAGTCAGTCATCGCCATAGCGGAGGCGGCTACAAATATGGAGTCCACAATGCATCATGAAACTACAAGTTAGGAATTGTTGGACACATGAGAGTCATAAAGAGGGTATAGCAGGAGGTTGAGTCAGTTTAACAGTCGATATAGTCTAGGTTAGCCCTGCAATGAAACATTGCAGCATCTCTTCATAATAGTAGTACTCCTCATCGGATTCACAATCCGAATCAAGAAAGTCCTTGTAGTTATAGTCCCCAGTGTGGAGTCCCTTTTCAGTACCAGCTTTGAATGGTTTTTATTCTATGTTTCTATTGGTTGTATAGGGAGAGGTATTAGCAGTAGAAAGAGGGAAGCGCTCATGCCATTATACAGAACACTGGTGAGACCTCACTTGGAGTATTGTACACAGTACTGGAGACCGTATCTCCAGCAGGATATTGATACCTTAGAGAGGGTTCAGAGAAGGGCTACTAAACTGATTCATGGATTGCAGGATAAAACTTACCAGGAAAGGTTAAAGGATCTTAACATGTATAGCTTGGAGGAAAGACGAGACAGGGATATGCTCAATATGGAGCTCCCAGAAAAGATGGACTTTGGGTCAGAAAGGAGGGACAAAAGGGATCTGAGCCTAAAATAGGGACAGCTGGTAGGAATGCACTTGCTACATCCCCTATAGACATATGATGTAGTTTACTGTACTGGGTGCTTTATTTTTCTCTAAATTATTAATTGGAATAGATATCTGCGTCTTATATTCCGTAATGTTTTCTCTGGCGCCCTGCATTCACAGACAGTGTGAGTGCGCAGAATAGAGGGCACCATATTGAGAGTATGGGATTTAGGTGACAAAGGAGATGATAATAGCCTCCCAGCCTACTGACCTCCTGACCATTATCGATCAGTGAGCAGGAGGCGTGTCTGCAGATTCAGTTCTCCCACCCTGCTCGGCTTACCTCCCCCACCCCAGCAATAGGCCGGCTGTTATAGCCCCTGATCCCCTCACGGCGATCGGAAAAGTACCAACCTCAGCCGACAGTCTCCCTCTACTAAGCACGTTGCTCCAGTCAGCCTACTTCCGGGGGAGGGGTCTCGCTTTACTGTGTCGCTCACTTGTGACGTCACCGAATCTTATCCTATCGCCCTTCTGATCTCTGGATAGGAGCGCCGCCACCAGGAGGGACATTAAACACACGGGAGCCGCTGAGCCGCCTTGGACTGGGCACACAGCGCCGAGGGCCACTCCGGCTACTGCAATCTGGGCTCAGCGCGTCGGCGCAGGACTAACACGTCACGGAAGGGGGGAGTGTTGACAGAAGTGACGCCAGCAAGCAACTTCCGGTGGAGTGACCCGGTGAGTGTGACAGAGCTCGAGCGAGCAGAGAGGCGGCCGGGAGGTAAGAGCAGCCTGAGTGTGAGTGAATGGTGGGGGCTGGGGGAATCATGCTGGATATTGAACACTGGGCTGGGGGCTGCAGGAGGAGAGATGGAGGCAGCGGAGCAGGTGCTGGTCCAGACACACAGGGAGAGAGAGAGAGATCCAGTCAGTCAGTAGTGAGTGAGTCAGTCAGTGAGTGTGATCCCTGTAGTGAGTCAGTCAGTGAGTGTGATCCCTGTAGTGAGTCAGTCAGTGAGTGTGATCCCTGTAGTGAGTCAGTCAGTGAGTGTGATCCCTGTAGTGAGTCAGTCAGTGAGTGTGATCCCTGTAGTGAGTCAGTCAGTCAGTGTGATCCCTGTAGTGAGTCAGTCAGTCAGTGTGATCCCTGTAGTGAGTCAGTCAGTCAGTGTGATCCCTATAGTGAGTGAGTCAGTCAGTCAGTGTGATCCCTATAGTGAGTGAGTCAGTCAGTGAGTGTGATCCCTGTAGTGAGTCAGTCAGTGAGTGTGATCCCTGTAGTGAGTCAGTCAGTCAGTGTGATCCCTGTAGTGAGTCAGTCAGTCAGTGTGATCCCTAGTGAGTGAGTCAGTCAGTCAGTGTGATCCCTATAGTGAGTGAGTCAGTCAGTGAGTGTGATCCCTGTAGTGAGTCAGTCAGTGAGTGTGATCCCTGTAGTGAGTCAGTCAGTCAGTGTGATCCCTGTAGTGAGTCAGTCAGTCAGTGTGATCCCTAGTAGTGTCAGTCAGTCAGTGTGATCCCAGTCAGTGAGTGTGTGATCCCAGTCAGTCAGTGAGTGTGATCCCTGTAGTGAGTCAGTCAGTCAGTGTGATCCCTGTAGTGAGTCAGTCAGTGAGTGTGATCCCTGTAGTGAGTCAGTCAGTGAGTGTGATCCCTGTAGTGAGTCAGTCAGTGAGTGTGATCCCTGTAGTGAGTCAGTCAGTCAGTGTGATCCCTGTAGTGAGTCAGTCAGTCAGTGTGATCCCTATTGTTTTTGTAGGACAGCAGAATTATTTATATTATTGTTTGCAGTGTGCACACACTGAGCTTGGGACTGCCCTTAGCATTATCAATGGGCTGCCATGAGATATGTTAATATTTATCTGTTTATCAGTAATGGAGATATTGATCTGTGACTGTCACATTACAGCAGGCTGGCTGTTTATATGATTGTTTATACATAATGAATAGGAGTCGGTATGTGTTATTATATAATATCACAAGCGTTTTGTGTTATAAATATTACATTTCTGATCTGTCCAGACCACGTCTTACGTAAGATAAATAGTCCTTAATAACAGAGGAAAATAGTGTCTCTTAAAACCTATTTCTATAACCATTAAACAGCACATGCAACATTGTGTATATGAAGCGTGTGCACATAACTAGAATGAATCAGGTCACTGTGAAGAAACGAGGTTAAGAAACTGTGACTGGAAAAACCTGATGGGTAAAGTCCAAGTTAAAACAGCAAAGATTTAATCTATTAAAGTTGATGGTGTAATCAGCTCTGAGCTGAAACGAAGGTTTCTGCTCAGCCATAGATGACAACAAAGATTTGCTAAGACTGTAGTTGTGGCAAAGCTTGTTGGATGCAAGCAGACAGAACTGAAGCCCACAAGTACAGCTTTGGCAAGTTCTGTCCACAGCATTGTTATTTTTTTAATTTTTTTTTTAAATACACGTTTAATTTAAACTGTTAATTGTACTCAATAATGATCTCTGGAGAATTGTTGCTTTATCATATTAAAGAGACAAGCAATGTCTGTCCAAGGTGAGCATGCAGCGTTTGTTTTAAAGACCAATCGAGGAAGTATAATTTCTTGTTTATGGCAATTATCTAGAGGGTTTGCAAGGCAGGTTTTCTGAGAAATTGTTACCTCGGTTTAGCTGCAGCGAGCTTAACAAACCAGGAAGTAACAGACTTGTTGTCTCCTTGACCGTCAGGGTGCTTTAATTATCAAAGTTAATTGAGAAAAAAATACCTTTTTTTTTTTTTTTTTATTGAAATCTGTAAATGGGGAGGAGAGCAGGCAAATTTTTCACACACAAAGCTTTTCAGCAAAACCAAATTGCACTAGCGGTCTGATGTGTATTTAAAATGTTTTGGCCTCCTAATCAAGCTGTGTTTTTCTCACATTGAAACCTCATGAGTCTTGCTAAAGAATATTTTGAATATTTTTCTTGAATATCTGTTTCCTTAGTCACGCCTCCTCACTTCACAAAAGAGCCTTTTGACTAGATGTATTCTGAGTACATGCTGATCTAGTGAGAGATCTGTGTGAACCGAGTAGCTAGTGTGTTTGTGTAGTCTGTGTATATAATGAATGCAGAGTGTGTGTTTGTGTAGTCTGTGTATATAATTACAAAAAGAGAAGTCCTGCGCTCACTCCCATCACTACTGGGCCGGCAGAGAAAAGAAAAAGTTACCTGCGCTCTCTCCTTAATCCCTATGTATATTTAGACAAATGGAGGTCATTTAGTTGCTCCACTGGCCATTGGAGGGAATGCCTGCCTCAACGTCAAGGCAGACCCCAAGGCGCGTGTATTCAGCCAGTCTCATAGGAAAGCATTTTCAATACTTTCCTATGGACGGCAGCGTCTTCTCACTGTGAAAATCACAGTGAGAAGCGCCTCTTGCGGCTGTCAATGAGACAGCCACTAGAGCCTGGATTAACCCTAAAGTAAACATAGCAGTTTCTCTGAAACTATGTTTACAGCAGAAAGGGTTAATCCTAGAGCAGTGATGGCGAACCTATGGCACGCGTGCCACAGGTGGCACTCCAAGCCCTCTCTATGGGTACGTGGCCATAGGGCGCCGGTCGGCAGCAATACAGAGTAGGCACGTGTGTGTGTGTGTGAGAATGTATTCAGTATTCTGTGTGTATGTATTCAGCAGTCTGTGTGTACTTGGCATTTTGTGTGTGTGTATATTCAACAGTCTGTCTGTGTGTGTTTTCAGCAGTGTGTGTTTTCAGCAGTGTGTGTTTTCAGCAGTGTGTACGTATTCAGCAGTGTGTACGTATTCAGCAGTGTGTACGTATTCAGCAGTGTGTGTACGTATTCAGCAGTGTGTGTACGTATTCAGCAGTGTGTGTACGTATTCAGCAGTGTGTGTACGTATTCAGCAGTGTGTGTGTATGTATTCAGCAGTCTGTGTGTGTCGGTGTGTATGTATTCATCAGTCTAAGACTGTATTCAGCAGTCTGTGAGATACTAATAAATATAAGCTTAATTTTATCTATTATTTATATCATTATTTAAAATTTGTATCATTGAACTCTCTGTTGTGTTCTTCTTTTAAAACAAAAGATGTTAATTAGTTTGGACAACAGTACGAGTTGTTTTTTTCTAAACTTAAACCTAAGTATTTAGGTTTAATTGCCGTGTTGGCACTTTGAGGGAAAAATAAGTTGGCATTCATTGCGGTTTGGGCACTCTGGCTCAAAAAGGTTCGCCATCACTGTCCTAGAGGGACCTGGCACCCAGACCACTTCATTGAGCTGAAGTGGTCTGGGTGCCTATAGTGGTCCTTTAAGGGACCACTATAGTGCCAGGAAAACATATTCGTTTTCCTGTCACTATAGTGCCCTGAGGGTGCCCCCACCCTCAGGGTCCCCCTCCCGCCCGGCTCTGGAAGGGGGAAAGGGGTTTAAACTTACCTTTTTCCAGCGCTGGGCGGGGAGCTCTCCTCCTCCGATCCTCCTCTTCTCCTCCCCGTCGGCTGAATGCGCACGCGTGGCAAGAGCTGCGCGCGCATTCAGCCGGTCACATAGGAAAGCATTCATAAGTGAGAAGCACGCAAGCGCCTCTAGTGGCTGTCAATGAGACAGCCGCTAGAGGAAATAGGGGAAGGCTTAACCCATTCATAAACATAGCAGTTTCTCTGAAACTGCTATGTTTATGAAAAAATGGGTTAA